TTTGATTTGCTGATCTGAGAGACCTGGGTGGTTTGTATATACAAAGGAGATCCGCTAAATATGGTGAGGCCAAATTATGCAATGCTTTATATACAACAATCAATAGTTTAAAATCAATTCTGTACTGCACTGGCAACCACTGAAGTGACGCTAAAATCGGTGTTACATGCTGTTTTTTACGAGTACCTGTTAAAAGCCTAGAAGTCGCATTTTGAACCAATTGAAGACGATTTAACAATACTTGGCTAAAACCCACATACAGTGAGTTACAGTAATCCAGTTTTACAGAAATAAAAGCATAAATAATCCTTTCAAAATCACTGGAGAACAGAAACGGTTTAACCTTTGCTATTGATCTTAAATAGAATAAACAAGATTTGACCACAGAGTTAATCGGTTTATCAAATTTCAAAGAACTATCAAATTGGACACCAAGGTTCTTCACCACAGATTTACAGAAGGGAGCTAAATTGCCCAAGTCAAAAGAGTTTTGGGCGTCAGGAGCCCCGAACCAGATTATTTCAGTTTTGCTTTCATTCAAATTCAGATAATTTTGTGACATCCAAGATTTAACTTCATGTAAACAACTCAATAGTGACTCAAAAGAGCTTTTATCCTGTTTCTGCAAAGGTAGATACACCTGAGTGTCATCTGCGTAACAATGAAAAGATACTCCATGCTTATGAAATATAGAACCTAAGGGTAACATATATAATGAAAACAAGACTGGGCCGAGAATGGATCCTTGTGGAACTCCACTAGACAATGGGGCTGTTTTAGAGTAATGTTGACCAAAATGGACTGAAAACTTCCTATTAAAAAGAAAGGATTTCTGACTAAACTATTCTTTTATTTCAACTTTGCAACACAGGAAAAAAGGTAAAGAGACTAAATACAGTTTGGTGACAAATTAAAGTAAAATGGGGGGGGTTTGATGAGCATGAAAATTATGTGAAACATATGCTATGGCCTTCACAGTCACCATATCTTAAGCCAATTAAAAGGAGCTTCTGAACTTGCATGTTAGGCACAATCATTATCAAAACACACATGGTGACCTAACACCTTACTAAGAAATTTTTCCTTTAATTTGTCACTCATCTGTATGCATTTTACCTAGAGTCTTTAGTTCATACCTGCAGGCTGCGTGGGGTGAAATATTTGGGCTTCCTGCTTTTCTGTGGGCAGAATCCACGGGCCTGGGCCAACTCCTCCTCCACTTCCTGTTGCCGATTGGCTAATGCTGGATCGGAGCAGCCAGAAAGGAGATCCGCTAAATATGGTGAGGCCAAATTATGCAATGCTTTATATACAACAATCAATAGTTTAAAATTCCTGTTGCCGATTGGCTAATGCTGGATCGGAGCAGCCAGGAAACAACCAGTCATCCTCAATCAGTTTTGTGCCACAAGACAAAGGGAATGGATCAAATATGTTTAGGGCAATGGAGGGCAGAGTACAAAATCAAGGTTGAGGAGAAACAGCCAGGTAAAGCTAGTGCAGATTAGAGAGTGGAAAAGGGACAGAAAGGTGCAGTAAGCAGCGCACATTGCAAATTCGGCTTCCAAAACAACAGCATGACTGTGGAAGACTAGAAATAGACTAAAATACTAAATGACTAAAATACGCAAGCCATAAAAAACAGGTTTTTGTGAATTATTTTAAGAAATTATAACAATTCACCTTGGTCTCAGCAATAAGTGGGTAATACCACCTGAAGTGTCTTTCAATCAACTATAGGATGGAAGCGAAAGTGGGACATCAATATTCATCCCTGAACAAAGAGGTATATGACTATAATAATGACTTCATTATAGGCTCTTCATTATCGTCACTGCTCCAATGCATTATTCTTCATCATCTTCACTAGCACGATCGACCCCATTCTGTTTTTTTTTTTACCATGAAACAGAAAATGAAAAAACCCACCGACGGGGTTAAGGTGCTGCCAAGCTACAAAAACAACTCACAGACTACCCTCACAGGCCACTATTAGGTACACCATGCTAGTACCGGGTTGGACCCCCTTTTTGTCTTCAGAACTGCCTTAATTCTTCATGGCATAGAGTCAGCAAGGTGCTGGAAACATTCCTCAGAGATTTTGGTCCAAATTGACATGATAGCATGATGCAATACATCCATGATGCAAATCTCCAGATCCACCACTTCCCAAAAGTGCTCTATTGGATTGAGATCCTGTAGACTTTGGAGGCCATTTGAGCCATTTGAGTATAGTGAACTCCAGTTTGAGATTATTTGAGTTTTGTGACATGGCACATTATCCTGCTGGAAGTAATAATAATAATAATAATAATAATAATAATAATAATAAACTGACCAGGCTCAGCCCTGCTTAGCTTCAGTGGGCAACCAAGTAGCCATCACAAAATGGGTAAACTGAGGTCATAAAGGGATGGATATGGTCAGCAACAATACTCAGGTAGGCTGTGGCATTTAAATGATACTCAATTGGTACTAAGGGGCCCAAAGGATGCCAAGAAAATATCCTCCAGACCATTACACCACCAGCAGCAGCCTGAACTATTGATACAAAGCAGGATGGATCCATGCTTTCATGTTGTTTACGCCAAATAGAAACTTGGAAATCCGGCCGATTACATCAGTGATGGCAGAGAGAAAGAAGTTTTGATGGATGAATTGTAATCAAAATTAAGACAATATGCAGTGAAACATAGGAGTCATACATTAGGTATGTGTGAGTCTGCTATGCACAAACAAACCACGTGTGCGTTCTCAGCACACTGATCGCTAACATCGTAGTTTATTTTATAGTTTACAATTATTTCAATACATTTGTGAAGTTGTCAAAATTCATGGCTGATGAGTGTTTTATAATGGATACTGGCCAAACAAGCGTGTTTTGGGGGAGTCTACGATATTTAATGGTGATATGTTAATGGTGTTACATATGTGAATCAGACACTGAATCATCACTGAGTTTTGATATATTTAGAATGTTTCTGTTTTTCATGCATATTTTGCTATGTTTAGTGATTCTGAATGTATCCCTACAGTAGCTATAGGCAGTCAAGTCAGGGCGGCTGGTTTAGTGGTATTTTGGCATCTCCACATGGTCCTGTTTGGCATCGCACCTTGACTTGAGCTTACCTGTATAAAAAGGCTCTAAACAAATGAAAATAAATTTTTTTCCCCCTCCAGTTTTTGCTATTGCACTGTATACAAACACTTTGAATAATGAAAAATTGTAATAATGTTTTCCATATGTGCTTTGGCGTGCACTGTATTTCTGTAATATATGGACTTGTATCATTGGTTAACAGATGTACATTTGGAATCTCCAAGTCTCCTTTTTGGAAAGACACCTAAATTTACCTTGGATAATATGGGTAACACTTTCTATGAATCCCGTATTTATAATACAGTATTCTTAAGTCATTTTAATGAATGCATAATGCATTATAAAAATCGTATAATATGTGGCATCATCTCATAAATAATCATAACAACAATTATAATACATTGTAATACTTACGCATTTGTGGTTATAACGTTTAAGAGTATGATTATTTATAACACACAATTAATACCATATTAAATCCATTTAATTTATAATGGATTATCTCATATCGTGACATTGTTTATTTAAGATCTGCACAGTATCTTACTACATCTTGTGAGTGGTTAGAAGTGATTGAGTGTTTTTGAGTGTTTCCTGTGAGGTTAATTTGGCTGTGAGCTAGTTTAAGATCAGTTGTAATACAAATGAAAAAAAAAATGCAATGATTTTTGCAAAAAAAATTTTTTTATTACATTATATGTTATTTTGATGGTCCGCTTAGTCTACTGACTATAGGCAACTTTGCATCTACATGCCAACTAACTCTCATTTAGACTATTAGTAGACTTAGGTTAAGGTTAGGGTTGGTAGAATAAGTTGACGTACTTGCAAAGTTGCTTATAGTCAGTAGAATGTCTGTTGGGGAACCATCAAAATAAAGTATTAGCAGATATTTAGCAGACATACTACAAATACTCCAATGACTGCTAGATGACATGTAGTTGCAAAGTTACTTATTAACAGTTGTCTAAATGGTACCATCAAAACAACCATACTGATATTACAATAAAATTAGTTCAAAGCAAATGTGTACACATTCATCTGATCTGATATCTGATTTTATGGCTGTTTGAGGAAAATATTATTATTTATAAGTGGTCTTTGTCTGCTTTAAGTAAAGTGAAGTTACTTTACTTAAAGCAGAAAAAGACCACTTATAAATAATAAGACCACATTATAAAGCCTTTTGGATGTTTTCATGAAGACTTTGTATTTGTCATTTGACAGTAAAAACACTGTCAACACAACAGATGTACTAAGTTATTGTGCAGATCTTAAACAATGGCAAGATATGAGACTTATAATACATTATAACTATGGGAAATATAATTCATTGTAACTTAAGTGGATGCAACATATTCATTGTGTGTTATAAATCATCATACTCTTAAAGGTATGACATTAAAACTGTTCTTATGATTATTTATGAGACAATACAACATATTATAAGGTTTTTTATAATGCATTATTCATTCATTATAATGCCTTAAGAATACCCTTATAATGTATTATAAATACGGGCTTCATAGAAAGTGTTACCATAATGTTTTATAAAGTTTATTTTAATTGCTTCAGGCCTCTCAAATCCTAGCCTTAAAATATTTTTTTCTTGAATGTATTTCATACAAAAAAACAAACAAAC